TTCTCCCATCTTCTTGATGTGCCTTTGTGGTGTAGTTGTTCTGCATGCTGGGCCAGTATTCCAGAGGTCCGTCGTTCGATTCCCGGTGAAGGCATTTGCTAATTTTCCATCTCTCCGACCTCCAAAAAAAAAATCCTAATGTCTCTACAGATGTAAATGACCCATTCTAAAGTAAATGGCCAACAGCCATAATAGGTAGTCTACCGGATAATGTAAACTAACTGTGGTATGTATCTGTGCTTCTCAATTTTTTTTGTAAATAAGTGTATATGTGTTATATATTGTGTAATGCAAGTTACTGTAAATTACCACAGTGCTCTTTTGGATTTGCACTTAATTTTTTTTCTTTTCCATGTGTGTATGCCATTCTTAGCTTGACATGTTATCACCAGCTCAATAGCCCTTCTTAGCTTTCCAGATGGCATTTTCATGATTTTTTGTACGACCCACTTATTCCTATTGCTATAACTTTAACTTTGTTCACTTATTTAAAATAAATATATATATATATATAATTATATATGTAATATTGAAGGCTCAATCAAAAGCCGGAGCAGTGTCGATGCGTGATTAGATCCATATTGAAGAAGAATTTTGATTGCGTAGTATTTAAAGAACTTGGCAGTCGAGGCAGTTTTAATTCCATTTTTATTTGCAAATGACATTTGTGGCCACAATTGCTTGGCACTCTAGTCGTGCCTTTCCACAGAAGATTTACATTTTTGATATCGTTGAGATAGAAAGCAAGCCAGCGAAATTATATCTTAGCAGAGTAGAGGGCAAAAGCTGAAGTGCGTCGTTATGAAAGATGGAAGCATGCGAAGAGAAAAGTTTTGGTTTATAATTCGGTGATTGGTCGTCAAGAGGCATCTGGAATAAATGGTTACGTAAGATCGCATGATTAATTTGAATGGCGCAATGCAGATAAGTTATTACGATTTTAGAATAGAGAGGAAGAATTAATGTTTATAGTTATATTATAATTCTGATTCATACATTTTTATCTTACATATTCCCCCCTTCAAAAAGAAAAAGGCAAAGCGACAGAAAATTTTTTTTAAAGAGAAAAAGTTAAAGTACTAGCAAATGTTGGGGGGGGGGAATAAATCATAAAATTTTTGTTCTGTAAAGTATAATTTATAAAGATCAATTTTTTTAAATAAATTTTGGTACTTTTCCGTTTTGCCGGCGCAAACGATAAAGTCGCCAATAATGTATCTTCGCTGGTAACCTTTTACGCCTCATTTTCAAAACAAGTCGCTACCATTTCTTATCAGATTGATTGTTTCTTTCAATACTGGCATACAATTACATAGAATTTTTACAAGACAGTTAAATTTTATGCCCTAAAACAATTCGCGGTAATTAATTAGAATGCAATCACACCGCTCACCTGAAAGTGAAAATATATCAAAATCAAAGTTAAGGCAAAATCAAGTTTGGCAAAATCAAGAGTTAAATTCATCTATTCTAATGAGAATGCATTAATGAAATAAAGCACTGCGGTTTTACATAATTTCTCAGTAAGCTTTTCGTACGAATTGAAATAATTCTTGCATTCAAACTTGTATTCCAAATTAAGCTTTAACTTGAAATTAATGTAGGTAATTACTGAGAGAATCAGATTTTTGTAGCGTAGTTTATGTGAAATGAGATCACTTGGGGTCACGTGATACGAACCGGCGAATCAAGATGTTGTACCATGATAGCATAGTAAATTCTTTAAATTAATGTCTTTTTACAAAATTTAAAACCATATTAAATGTTTTATGGCTTGAAAATTAAATTCTTAGAACTACATTCGTTAACATTTTTTATGTGTATACTGTATGTTGTCGCCAACAAAGTCTGCTTGGCGAACTTTGCGCCGGCGAAACGGAAAAGTACCTAAATTTTTAATTTTTAAGAGTCCTATTGAATTTTTCAGCATTTCAGTCCAAAAGTCTTTTTGTTTGAGAGTTCGTATAATCATAATTCTTCAGGGAAAGTTCTTGTTATCGCAGAATATAATTAAGCCGGTAGGATAGTTTCCTGCAGCCTGAAACCTCAATGGAAAATTTAATTCAGCTCTTCAAATCATCGTTTTGTGATAAATCCAAGATAATGTGTAAGTGAATCATCAAGTTTGTTTTTTCAGTGTTTAAAAAATAACAGATCATTCTTCTGCTGTGGTGTTTTGCAAGTGCTTCAAAAAAATAATCACGCGTAGTGTTTACAGATTGAAAGTAATATCTCGATAAATTGAGAAGTTTGAATGCCTAATGAAAAGGAAATCATCAGTGAATTACCGTTTCGGAATTAAGCATTACAGCGGGTTCAAGGTCGATCTGAGTTAGTGTTTGCAAGTATGTGCGACAGAAAATTATTTGCACCTCTGCTTTTTCAACAGCTTAAAAATTATCACATTCGTGTGAATCTAGTTCAGGAACTAAATTATTTAATGTGCTGCAGATTTTTAGTTTTCATTTCAACTTTGGTTAAAATTTCTGCAATTTGTTTTGAGAAAATCCAAAATTCTTGTTCATTAATTTTTCTAATTTTTCATAATTATGTGTGAGCAAATTAAGTAACGAATTTTAAGCTATTTAAATTATTCATAGGGAAGGATATTAAGATAAGTTATTACGATTTTAGAATAGAGAGGAAGAATTAATGTTTATAGTTATATTATAATTCTGATTCATACATTTTTATCTTACATATATATATATAAATGTGTATACATTATATTGAATTTATATTATTTTTAACATTTTCCTTCAGTTATTTTCTTATATCATTTGTAAACTACTTACTATTCGATTAAGGGGTAGGGTCTTTGACCCAGGCACCTTGGTGCTACACCAAAATTTTCTCCCTTGCAATTCTCTGCTTGCTACAGAAAGGTGGTAGAAAGCCCTATTTACCAAGCCATTTACAAGAATGTACTAAAAAAAAATATCAACTTAAATGGAAATTCAGTTAGAGTAGATTTAAGAGCGCCTCTTGGATTATCACTAAGTTGTTGCTTCATTTATGGTAACCCGAGTAGTTGAATGCTATGGAAACCCTATTATGACATAATTGTTGTGTGATTCTGGTGAATTTGAATGATGGGAAAGATTTGGAAAGGCTTGTTTATGTGTCAGATTTTGGATAAGTTATTATTTTGTGATTTATACGGTAAAATGATTGAAAGTGGTAAGATTAAATTGAACTTTTTGTACAATTTGGAACAAAAGAGAAAAAAAACATTAATTGACTGGTGTGTAAATGAAGGTTAACTTAGCAGCCATTACAAGTGTCCTGTTTGTAGGAAGGAAATGCCATAGTCGAACCATAGTCCAATGTCGGTGGCTCTATGGAGGATATTTTGTACTCTTATTTTTGTGAATTTGTGTTGCAACGCCACTATACAGAATCTAGTTCGGATAATTTTAGGAAGTTTTTGGATGCTGTTAAGGAATTTTGTTTGACTGAAGACATGAAAATTTGTAAATAAGGTAAGTAGATATTTCCTTTTGCGTAGTGCTAAGATGAATTTCCTTTTTATGTTATTTCATTGTTTGATTTAAAATGCAGTTTATTGAAATTATATACTTTTTGTTGGCTGCTCATTTGACTTTTTAAATGAATATAGATCGATGTGTACATGGACAAAGTCAAGGGAGTATGCAATGCCTAGTTTGTTCAATTCTCTGATTTTTTTTTAATGTGAAAAATAGGTCGATGTGTACATGGATACCGGGTTTGTGCACTTCTTTGGCTTCTTATTTTGGATTTGTGTAGTGGCTATTTTTGGCGCAAAAAATTGCTGCTACATAAAGCGAAAATAACAAGTCAAAAAACTGCACAAACTCGGTGTCCATGTACCGCCAAACATTGCCAAGGGGTACTCGTAAATATATTTTTACACAAAATTCTAAAGGAATTGTGTACATATTATTTTTAACATTTCCTTTCAGTTATTTTCTTGTATCATTTGTAAACTATTTACTATTCGATATGAAGTAGGGTCTTTGACCCAGGCATCTTGGTGCTCTCCCGAGCAAGTCTCTGCTCGCTGCAGAAAGGTGGAAAAAAGTCGTATTTACCAACCCATTTATAAGAATGCACTAAAAAATATCGACTTAAATGGAGATTCTGAAGGAACTGTGTAGAATTTTTCAGCAGCTGAATTTACACTGTACAGATACTTTTCACAATTAGAATGTAAATAACTACCACTAACAAAAACCATACGCAGTTATTTGCGATACTCCACAAGTGCACTTTTTATACTTAAGAGGGGGTAGTCTATATTTTGGGGTACACCTTGGACCAGCCACACAGGTCTGGGGTTCGATCCCCGGGCTGGGCAAGGTCGACTCAGCCTTTCATCCCTTGAGTGGGTCAATAAAAATGAGTACCAAGTTCGCTTGGGGACTAAACACCCGGGGGTCTTGCGACAAACTGACCACTTGTCCAGGGCAAATGCTCATGCACCTCGGGTCCACAGTCAAGAAAGCAGATATAGGGGCACTGCTAGCCTTGGTCCACTAAGGCTGTTATGGCACAGGGTTTAGTTTAGAGTTTAAAAGTTAAAATAATTTAACACAGTTTTTGGATGCTGTTAAGGAATTCTGTTTGTCACACATCAAAGAGACAGAAATTTTTAAATAAGGTAAGTCTATATTTCCTTTTTGTACTGCAAAGGTTAGATAACATGCGTTTCCTTTTTTATGTTATTTCCTGGTTTGATTTAAAATGCAGTTTATTGAGATTACGTATTTTTTGTTTTAGTTATGTTTCATTGCATTTTGTTTAGGATGCCATTTTACTGGGGAGGGCATTGCACATAAACAGAAACGACACCAAAAAATTGCCAGTTTTCGCCGAGGGATACCCTGAAATATATTTTCCCCCTTAAGGGTTGGTTATTAATTAATTATCATATATGGTGCTATTTCCTATATGAATTCAAAAATAATTGTCCTGAAACTTAATAATTTTTTAAAGAAATAGACCATATTACATCCTACCTTACATTCTCACGCAACTGTTTGACCAATTTTATGTTTACATCGGCTTCAAGTAGGGCTGTGCATATTTCTTTTAGCATAGAATCTAATACCTGAAAAATAAATACAGAAGTATATGTATGTGTATATATAGTCTGGTATATTTCTAAAAACAAATGAATAATCACTATTGAAATCTGTGTTATAATAAGGACGTGAATTATGCATAAAAGCAAATGGATTTTTCTATTACATTTTAAATTGTTCAATGTTTCAAATGACATATCTAAAATTATGATAAATGGCAAACAAAATCAGCTTTTAAAAATAAACAAATAAATATATTATGTAAGAAAATATTAAATGAATAAATATATTATACAGGTAACCCTCCTATAACACAGTAGATAGGTTCCTTGAAAATGCTGTGTTGTGTGAAACCATGCTGTACGAGACACAGAGCTAGTACAAAAAGGGGGGGTTATGCACCGAAAACGTAATAAAACCAAGTATTTTTTTTAATTTACATAAATAAACTTTAATTTATAAATATAATGTATGCACACACAAATGAAAAATTTTTATCATTATTTTAATTTAATTAATTTCTTTGTCATCAATGCTCAGTATAATCAACCAAGAACACTTTTTCAGTGGAATGAGATCGCCTTCATTTTCAGAATTTTTTTCTTTATTTAAAGTTCTGGCACCTTCTTCCCTCTTTAAAAAATCTGTAATTTTACTTTGCTTACTAGTTCTTACCAGGTCATAGTAAATTTCTCGATATGGAGCTAGATAATTTTGCAGCTCCCTTTTAAATTTTCGGTTTCTTTCGGCGGAAGGGTCTCCATTCAAGAAAAATGACTTGAGATTTTCAGCTAAGTTTAGGGTTTCTTTTAACTTTTTTACTGTTAAATTATTAACTGCAAAATCTTCATCACTGCTAGTCTCCTCAGAATCGATTTGATTTACAGCTTCGGATGACATTTCCATCAAATATCCTTCGTCAGTTTCTTCTTTCGCTAATAAATCTTTAACGTCCTCAACAGCCATATCCAGAAAACATTCGTCTCCGATTGACTTAGCAAGTTCTAATATGCTACAGATTTCATTTTCTGACAATTCAAGCACATTTTCTATTTCAACTGAAGAGGGCCATATCGCCTTCCAACATGCATGTAACGTTGATGTTTTCAGTTCTTTCAGCGACAACGGTATGATGTCAATACATTTTTTTTGTTTGATTGTGTTTCATTGAAAATTTCTTCCAAGCTTCCACTATAATGCTCACTTTTCTTATGCGATACTTTTTAAAGGTATAAATAATAGCTTAATCCAGTGGTTGGAGTAACGAAGTAGTGTTAGGTGGTAGAAACAGTACTTCATGGATGTTGGGATGATTCAGTCTTGTGGGTGACATAGAACATTATCTAATAGTAATAGCAGCTTGAAGCTCAAATTTTTCAGCCTTAAATAATGTTCAATGTCTGGCACAAAACATTTTAAAAACCAGTCTTTAAATAAATTTCTATTTTCGCAAACTCTTGGATTTGCTTTCCAATATACCGGTAAGGTGTTTTTTATTTACACCTTTAAGTGCACAAGAATTTTGTCATAAGTTCCCCTGATGAGTTATTGCTCAAACGTAGTGTTAGACGATCTTTAGACACCTTGATTCTGGGTGCAGTTTTTCTCTTTTTCGATATAAAGGTTCTACTGGGCTTTTTTCCCAACCACAGCACAGTTTCCTCAGCACTGAAAACTTGATCTGCTGTGTACCCCAGCTCTTTGAATTTTTTCAGGAAACGTCCTAGCAGCTTCATAAACAACCGATGCAGATTCTTCTTGAATTCTTATGCTATGAATGGCAAAATGCTTTTTGAAATTTTTTAACCAGCATTTATTCACCACAAAATCTGGGTTGACAGAGGATTCTCCATGTTCTTTAAGGTGCTTTTGTTTTTCTGAGTGCTTTTTGTTTAATGATAATACCATCCAACGGCATTCTTTTTTGACAACTATCATCAACTTAAATGCTGATTGCCTTTTCCATCTTCTCAATTATTGGCCCCCCAGGGGCGAGCTGCACGTTTTGCAGATGTCAAAGATCTCACAGCAACTGAACTTCTGATTTCTTTCACTTCTCTTAATAGTCCGGACTGTTGCTTTATTCAAATTAAGACTTTTTCCAATGTGAGAAGCCTTACCTTCTTTTAAAAGACAAACCAAGATTTGTACCTTTACTTCTAAAGAAAAGATTTTTCTCTTAAACGTTTTTTTATCTTTAACGGACATGTTTCGTGACTGAAACTTAATGCCTTAAATGCAAAAAAGTTATTCTTTAACACACAGTGGCTCCACACAGACTGACGACCAGCAGTGTGAGACACTTTTGTTTTCAAGCCACGTAGATGAGGATTCGAATTTTGGAAGCCGAACGTTCAGGTTGTGCATTTTGGAGCTCTTATTGTTCCTTTTCTGCGATAGTGAGGTTCCTTCATTATCTGGTGACTGTAGTCTTTTTTGACCAGGTATTGTTCCTATTGCACTATACTTTGACGGTCATGGAAGAAAACGATTTTCCCTTGTTACCGGTTAAAAATGTTACGGTCAGTCTCCACCACGTGGCTCATCTTCCTGAGGATTTTTGCTCTTACGGGAACTGGATCTTGGAGGACAACTGGCAGGACTTCGAAACAAGGATTCTTATGTGTTAAACTTTATAGAATGGAAACTTTGGAAAGTTTTACTTAAAAAGGTGGGAAACAGGAATGTTACTTCCACCCCCTTCAATTTCTATTTCAATGTGAAACTACTACTCTTTTGAATAAGAGAATTCTTTCCTTTAAATGCCTTTGTTAATTTTCAGTCTAGGGCGAAGGCACGGAGGTCCTCAGACAAGTGGCAGGGAAGGTTGTTGGACAATGACTATCCCTGCAACCGGAAGAGTGAGGAGGTATCAAAAAACATCTCTGATCAATATTTGGGTCAGAGATGTTTTTTCAGACCCTGCAAATCTGGCCTATATTTCAGCCACCATTTTCAAAGTGGACTATGTTGGTCGCTTTGCTAAATATGGAAAAACTTTATGTGGTGTTCCTTAAATTTCTTGGGATTGCTTGGGCAATTTTCTTATCGTATTAGAGTGAAACCGTGTTATAGGAGGGTTCTCGCAATTTATGATTCGTGTTATAACGAAACCGTGTTATAAGAGGGTTACCTGTATAAGAAAATATTAATATTAAATTAATCACCAAAATTAAATATTACAGCATTTTTATTTGGCATTTAAAAATCACTTTCATTTTCAACTTTATAACTGTGCATTATGTGGACACAAGTGATAAATAGTTAAAAAAGTTAAATAGTAAATGGGTTAAGTCAAATAGTTAGTTAAATGTATTTCATGCCTTAACAACTCTGAAT